GCTCTGCTTGCCAACAATTCAATCATGTAAGAGAAATGTGTGAGTCATGTCATGTGTGAGTATCAGTCAGCAGCAGCAGGATGTTGTCATCAGAACCAAGTCTGTTTCAGAGWCCTGGGGTCTCATTTATAAAGGATTGCGTGGAAACCATACTAAAAGTGAACGTACGGCCAAAAGGCGGAAATGGCGTACGCCAAAAAAAATTCAGATTTATAAAACCGTGCGTACACACGTTTCTGTGCATCTTTCCTTTATAAATCACAGCCGCACGACAGTTTGCGCACGAGGTCCCGCCTCAGGTTCTACCCTCTACACGCCCACACTCAACCATAAACAGTCAATGTAAAGTACCTCATGAATGTTAAGATTTATTTAAATCAGTCAGCTGATCAATGACAACAAAAGTGATTGGTTCAGACACGCTCTGTAGTGTGTCTGGATGATGACAGGTGCTGACTGACAGCTGCTCACGTGAACAGAATGTCTGTAACTGACTCAGATTTTGGTTTACAGACGTTTAGAGTAATCTAATGATTTTTATCTAAAACTCGGCTTCAAATTAATTTTCTCCCAGAGCCTGCAGGACGATAAAAACAATAAAAATAAAATTAAATAAGTCAGATAAAATTAGAAATAAGTCCACTGCTCTTCTCCCCCTCCTGCCTGCTCTGTTATCTGTGGCAGACATCCCCGCCCCGCACGCACCGCGCGTGACAAACACGGACTTTAAAACGTGAAGTTTTATAACATTCACCCTGGCGAGGTGGGTGCGCCCTGCGCGTGCATCCAAAGTGTGACTTTTGCTGTCGTGCTGTTGAAATGTGTCTTGTCGGGGAGGGGTCTGTGGGTCAGTGTCGTGAGGAGGAGGAAGGAGGGATGGAGATGTGTGAACTTTTATTTAAGATTTATGTTTTTTTTATTTCAAAGGTCCTCATGGCTCAGCAGCAGAAGCATAAATATTACTGTCTGATGAAGGTAAATTAATGACACTGATCATTACACAGTGTGGCTCTAATTCCTCACTTCACCATCTGTGTCACAGTTTCACGTCTCCAAAATGAGCGTACGCATGGGTCAGAGCCGGCGTGAGGCACCGCCCATTTTCACGTCYAGTTTGYATTTTATAAATCACAACRTTGGCYTYAAAAGTGGCGTACGCAAGTTTCTGGGCTCATATTGTGRGTACGCCWGTTTTATAAAWCCGACCCCTGGTCATAACTGTGGCATGAAGCCAGTTCTGATTCTCAAAGTGGTACCGGTACATGCAGTCCTTATAAACAGTAAATATACCGTTACCAGGCTCCACCGTCCTCCACTGAGGACCCCTGTATGCTCCCACCACACCAGTAAACCACCACAAKCTCTTTGAGGATGTCCTGTGTGAAAGATCAAACCACCATCACACTTAATGTGGAGCCCACCATGTTCTCACTACACCTGGACCAGACCCAACAACCATCATCCAGGTTCTGTCTGTTTCTCAGGTCACAGTCWCGTCTCATCAGGGAGTAAATCAGCTCCAGAAAGGTCACCTGTAACTGTACACTGTTCCTCTCTGGGAGAACAGCAACTTGTAAAGCTGTGAGCTGGTCAGGTCGTGTTAAAACACCAGTCAGCCCTGTGAATTCACTGCACAGAGTTTAATGCCAAAAGCTGCAGGAGCTGCTGATTTGATTCAGGCAGCATCAAGGAGCTAATCAGTAAAATCTGCTGCTCGTTCTCAGCCTGAGGAATGATTATCAGGCTCTGAGGTGATTTATTTTAAATAGGTCAGAAACTCTTTAATGAAGCAATTATGAATCAAAGGCTGTGTGGTTAGTGAAGGAAAARGGTCAAAACCTTTTTATCCTTTGTTTTATTTTACAGGAAGGAAGCTAAAAATGATAGAGAAAAGCACYTTTTAATCCAGGAATGTGTTTTCTTTTACCCAAATTGACTTCAGCTGGGGAACAGAAGGGCAGAACAACTCCCAGATTAGTTTTTTTTACCCATAGATGAAAACGTTGCACGGCCTGAGACGACCAGCTGACCTCATGTTGACCCATAATATCATCCTTATCTGATGAGGTCTCATGATGATTTTCACTTCAACTGTCGGGCGCTCTCTGTATGGCAGGCCATTTTAACATAAAATCATCTTCACCACACTTCTATTCCAGATATCTGAAATTGATTTATGACGTATTATTTAAGATATCTCTAATTGTATTCTGACTTGTATAAATGCCAMATTTACCATTAAGTTGTATGAAGGGCCTAATTTAAGATCTCTGCAATAAACTACTGTCTGAAACATTTCAGATAATGACTAGTCATACAGTAAATTTGAGATATGTCGCTTTTTGTTCTGACTAGTCTTAATTCCAACTGAAGACYTTTTTAGAAATGAGATATGATTTGACCAGTGCCAATGGAAAGAAATAAAACAACTAATCAAAACTAATTTAGAGATATCCCAAACTGCATTTTTAACTTGTCAAACTTCCTTTTAAGATATCTCCAAATGAATTACAGGTATCTTGATCATTTTTTCATCTAGACAGCTTTTCTTTTTAAGATATCTTAAACTGTTCTTACTACTACTCTACTACTCAGAATGTAAGTGCAGARATCCTAAATTACCATTCAGGATAGTCGACATGTAGATGTTCCCAGTCAGAACTCATTCTTAGATCACTAGAATGCACTTATAGACAGATGAAGCCTAGTCTTAATGTTAAAATGCTGTATGTTAACTGAATGGAAGGGAACTCTATCTGATTTTGGCTCAGCCATCAACATCACCTGAAATAAAAGCACAGAAATMCTCAGATATTTAGTTAACCTCAGACGTGTTTGGTTTGAAACAAAACACCCCGTGTYTGTTTGTCAAACATCCTGCGGATGAATTCGTGTTTGTTTTACCAAGATAAGATGAGACTTTTTACTACTTTTATTTATACACCTGTTTTCAAACACAAACGTAACCTGCAACACAAAAACAAAGACACGTCTTTCATCAAAGTGATTCCTGCTTATTTACAGTCATGGGGGGAAAAGGAGGTCAGTCCTCTTTATCTGTGGGAGTTTTTACATATCAGGACATCAAAGAAAAAAAAAGATTAGGTCTTTATCAGTTTGTAAAATTATTCAAATTTAACCTCATGTGAACTCGACTGTAAAAAAAACAGGTCCCACAAAGTAATTGTTTATTAAACACAAAGAGGAAATGTTGCAGGAAAGTTAAATCCAGCCTTGCTGCTTCTACCAGATCAACCAGGAGTTGCTGTTCAAATTGATTAATGAACTGATGG